TTTTGATCCTCCCGACCCAGACTCCTGAGCCTCTGGGATTATAGGTATGCACTACCATGCCCTGCTCTACTATAGATTTTTGTTTTGTGGTTACTATACAGCTTACATAAAACCTAATATAACCAGATATTTTAAGATGATAATTTTGATCATTACACGAAATCTATACCTTTATTTCTCCTTACCTACATTTTATATATTTAATGTCACAATTTATATCTTTTTATATTTCGTGTCCCTTAATAAATTATTATCGTTATAGTAGTCATATTACTTTCACCTTTTAAGTTTCATAATAGAGATAGTTAATTTTAATACCACCATTAGAGTATTTGAATTGCACTATGTAGTCATTTTTATCAGTGAGTTTTATACTTTTACATGTTTTCACTTTACTATTTACTGACTTTTCTTCAGCTTTAAGGAACTCTTTTAGTATTTCTCATTAGGCAGGCCTACTGGTGATCAATTTCCTCAGTTATTGTTTGTCTGAAAGTTTTTAATCTCCTTTAATTTTTGAAGGACATGATTTCTGGCTACAGTATTCTTGCCTGTCAGTTTTTTTCTTAAAATTTGTTGAAAATATTGTCCCATTCCCTTCTGTGCTCAATGTTGTGCTGAAATACCCATGGATACTCTTACGCAGATTCCTTAGTATATAACAAGTCCCTTTCGCTAGGTGCTTTCAAGAGTCTGTAACTTTTTAGCAGGATACAAAATTAACATCCATATATCAATGAGTTTCTATATGCCAATGATAAATCAGCTGAAAGAGAAATTAGAAAAACTATCGAATTCACAATAGCCTCAAAAAATAAAATGAAATGCTTGGAAATCAATCTAACAAAAGAGGCAAAAGACCTCTATAAAGAAAACTACAAAACACTAAAGAAAGAAACCGAGAAGATCTTAGAAGATGGAAAGATCTCCCATGTTCTTGGATAGGCAGAATAAATATTGTCAAAATAGCCATACTGCCAAAGCATTATTAAAAGTTAATGCAAATCCTATTAAAATTCCAATGATGATCTCCATAGAAATAGAAAAGGCAGTCGTGAAATTTATTTGCAAAAATAAGAGACCCCAATAACAAAAGCAATCCTTAGCAAGAAAAGTGAAGCAAGAGGCATCACAATACCACATGTTAAATTACACTACAGAGCTATAGTAACAAAAACAGTACAGTATTGGAACAAAAACAGTCATGAAGACCAAAGGAATAGAAGATCCAGAACAAACCCACAACAAGTATGAGATACAGTTATTTCATACTAGACAAAGGCACCAAAACACACACTGGAAAAAAGATAACCTCTTTATCAAATAGTCTTGGGAAAACTGGAAATCCATAGTAGTAGAATGAGATTTAACTCATCTCTCACCGTGCACAAAACTCAACTCAAAGTGGATCAAAGACCTAGGTATAGACCAGAAACCCTATGCCACCTAGAAGAAAATGTAAACCCAACTCTCTATCATGTCAGCCTAGAAACTGACTTCCTCAACAAGACTCCTAAAGCACAAGAACTAAAATCAAAAATCAATAAATGGGATGGCGTCATGTTAAAAAGCTTCTTCACAGCAAAGGAAATAATCAAGAACCTGAAGAAAGAGCCTACAGGATGAGAGAAAATCTTTGCCACCCACACCTCAGATAGGGCATTAATTTCCAGAATACATAAAGAACTCAAAAAGCTTATTAAAAAAACATATAACCCAGTATATAAATGAGAAAAGGAGCTCTACAGACCCTTCTCAATAGAAGAAATACAGTCAGCAAATATAAAAAAAAATGTTTAACATATCTAGGAATTAGAGAAATGCAAATTGAAACTAAATTGCAATTCCATCTCACTCCAGTCAGAATAAAAGTGGGGCAACAATCAAGAATAAAAGTGGGGCAGCAATCAAGAATAAAAGTGGGGCTGGGGTTGTGGCTCAGTGGTAGAGCACTTGCCCAGCATGTATGAGGTGCTAGGTTTGATTCTGAGCACCACTTATAAATAAATGAATAAAATAAACGTCCATCAACATCTAAAAATATTTTTTAAAAAGAATGAAATTAACAATAAATGTTGGTGAGGATGTGGGGGAAAGGGTGCACTAATACATTGCTGGTGGGACTGCAAATTGGTGTGACCACTCTGAAAAGCAGTATGGAGATACCTCAGAAAACGTCAAATGGAACCACCATTTGACCATATTGGCCCATGCCTTGGCAAATATCAAAGACTTAAAATCAGCATACAATAGTGACACAGCCACATCAATGTTAATAGCAGCTCAATTCACAATAACTAAGCTATGGAACCAATCCAGATGACCTTCAACAGATGAATGGATAAGGAAACTGTGGTATATATACAAAATGTACTAATAGCCATAAAAATGACTTTATGACATTTGCTGGTAAATGGATGGATCAGGAGATTACCATGCTGAGTAAAATAAGTCAATCCTCCAAAAATGAAAGGGCAAATGTTTTTTCTGATATATGGAAGCTAACACACAATGAGGGAGGAGGGGAAGGAAGAATAGAAGTACATTAGATTAGACAAAGGGGAATGATGGGAAGGGAAGTGTGACAGGAAAAGGAAAGAGAGTGGAATGAATCTGACATAAATTTCCTGTGGAGATATATGAATATATCACAGTGAATCCCACCATCATGTACATCCACAAGATTGAGGACCTAATTAGAATAAGATATATTCCACATTGTATAATTATATCAAAAGGGATTCTACTGTCACATATAACTAAAAAGAACCAATAAAAAAGAAAGGAAGATCAGTGGAGTAGAAGATGAATGAAAGTGATGTAGGAAGGAAGGAAGAGAAGAAATATGGAATGAATTTTTAAAAATCACATTGTATTTTTATATAAAGGTACTAAAGGGAATTTCAGCTTTATGCATATGTAAAAGAAATGAAGTTAATAGGGAGAGAGAGGAGGAGAGAAAAAGGAGATGAGGAATAAGAATTGAAATAAAATTTCTTGCATTTATGATTTTGTCAAAATGAATCCAAATGCTGTGTAAAACTGTAATGCTCTAATGAAAACAAAAGAAAACTTATTACCCACATATACTTTTAAAATAAGTTATTTAAATATATACTCTATCAATATGAGTAAAAAGAAAAAAGAAACAGGTAGATAAAAACTAAAAAAATGGTATATTTAACATAGAAATATCAAACAAACAAAAAAAACCCAAAATCCCAAGATGGCAATTGTGTAGCCTAACTGGTAATTCTCAGCCTGAAATAGAAGCAGCAGCAAGGAGCTTGTGAAAATAATATTTTCAGATAGAAGAATGAAATAGATTCCAAATGATATATATAGTTTGCAGAAATGCCACTTCAAAAACAATACAAAAATTCTTCAAAAATACAAAAAAGACAACTACCATATGGCCCAGCAGTCTCAGTCTTTGATATATATAAAAGAGCTGAAGTTAAGATCTAGAAGAAATATCTTTATCTCTATGTTCACTGCAGCATTATTCACAATAGCCAAGAGATAGAAACAATGCAAATATACATCAACAAATGAATGAATAAAGAAATGTGGTATATCTACACAATAAAATATTACTGACCCTTTAAAAAGAAGGATATCTTGTCACATTCTACAACATAGACACACCTTGAAGAAGTTATGCTAAGTGAAAAGTCACACACAAATATTAAATGATTCCACTTAATATAAGGTGTCTAAAACAGTTTAACTCATAGAAACAGAAAACAGAATAGTTGTTGCCAAGGCCTGAAGGAGGGGGAAATAGGGAATTATTACTCAATGGGTATAAAATTTTGGATATACAAGATGAATAAATTCTAGAAATCTGTACAACATAATACCTATAGTTAATAATAAGGTACTGTGCATTTCAACATACATTAAGAATATATATCTCATGTTAAGTATTTTTCACACACACACAATACATTAAAGAAAACAAAGACATTTTTGGAAGTGATGGATATTGTTAACTCCTTGACTATGGTGATGGTATCCAACACATTAAATTGTGTACATTCATAAGTGCAGTTTTTTATATCTCAGTAAAGCTTAAAAACTAGTAATAGAGAAATTATTAGAGAGATGGAAAATGTTAATGACATGGGGAAAGAAAGTATATAGCTTTCTTCTCAATAACAATAAAAGCTATAGGAAATAATGATCCAAATATTGAACTAAATGAGAATTGATTACTATGTTAGGAAGCAAGGCATACTCATTATTTAAAATATTTTTAAAATTATTTTTAGTTATGGATGGACACAATACCTTTGTTTTATTTATTTTTATGTGGTGCTGAGGATCAAACCCAGTGCCTCACACATGGTAGGCAAGTGCTCTACCACTGAGCCAAAACCCCAGCCCCATAATATAGAATTTTAAAGAGGAATCCACTGGAAATATTTTCTAAAATAACTTTTTATTCTGAGCAGTGTGATTCACTTGAGGAGGGAAAATTCAAGTCAATGCTATTCCTTTTTATTACCTTGTCTCATTTTATTTTTTTAATGTGGAAACATTTTTTTCCTTTTTATCAGTTCTTTTTAGTTATACATGAAAGTAGAGTTTATTTTTACAAAATTATACATGCATGAACTATATCTTATTCTAATCAGGATCCCAGTCTTGTGGATGTACACATGGTGGAATTCACTGTGGTGAATACCCTATATCTTCATAGGAAAGTTATGTCAGATTCATTCCACTGACTTTCCTTTTAATATCACTCCCTTCCCTTCATTCTCCTTTGTCTAATCCTCTGAACTTCTATACCTCCCTCTGCACATTTATTGTGGATCTGCTTCCACATATCAGTGGAAGCGTTATTTTGATTTTTAAAAGTGAAAATAGTTTCATGGCACAGATAGGACTGCTTCATAAGGCTTATTTGGGTAATTTGTTTCCATGGCTATCAAAACGAGAGTCAATAAAGTTACCATAAATAAAAATATGGTCTAAACTTTGAAGGCTATACTACTATTTGAAATGCTTACCATCAACAGGTAGATTTTTCACCAGCTCTGTGCATTCCTTCTCTGTGAGATCTATCCCCACACTTTCTAGAATATTTTTTATTTGTCTGGTATTTTCTTCACCTTCATTTAGAAAGACAAATATAAAATATATGAAGAAGTCATGAGTTATTGACTAGAAGACATTTTTTAAAAATCATCAGTAATTACTCAATGTTAATATCAACTTCTAAATGAAAAAAAGCACAAGATCCGTCCAACTAACTACTTTATGGAATTTAAATAAAGAGGATTTCTTCCCCTAATCCTATCAAAAATTAGGTTACTTCATAATGATTTAATCAAATACATCACATAATAATATATGAAGCTTATAATTTTATTTTGAAAATTTTAAATAATTGAAATAATTCTATAATTTGTCAGTGGTCTTATTATTATTAAGATTATCAAATTACCTATATTTTTAAAGCAAAACTTTATTTAATAATTTACTGTGCTAATTTAGAATTGATATTTTTTAAAAGCACATAGTAGGAAAGATATACTACTGCAGAGAATAAAATATTATTATGAAAAAAAAGTTAAAATGTTTATTTTGTTAAAAGCTGCATTTAAAAAATATGGGTAAAATCTAAGTTCAAACTTTGAACAATTAGATACAAACAAGAGTAAAAGATGAGAATACAGAAATCATCAAGATAATTATTGTTTAGTGATAAGAATTAAAATCTTGGATTTATAGCAACTCATTTCTCACCTGTGACAATTTTTACTCCATCCATTAACTCATCAAAATTAACCTTCCCAGAAACTATAAGAAAAGATACAATAAGACACAAATAACATTACAAAGGAAGAAAGTCTAAAAATTAACTTATTTGACTCTGGTCCAAGTAAATGATGATGATGATGATGATGATGATGATGATGATGATGATGATGATGATTTTACCACTGAGCTACATTCTCAGCTCTTTTTATTTTATTTTGAGACATGGTCTTGCTAAGTTGCCTCAGCAGCCCTTGAACTTGCTGTCCTCCTTTCTTTACCTCCTGAATAACTGGGGTTACAGATGTGTGCCACCATGCCCAGCCATGTTATATTATTAAAAGGCACTCTTTCCTTCATAGCAGAGTATAATCCAGGGAGTATAATCCTGTAGCAGAGTCTAATCTCTTTTCTAATTTTTGTGATGGTACCCTGTGTTATAAATACAGTAGTTATACAATAACTCTGACCAAGTTGATTGATTCAAACTTGTCACAGCCAAGAAGTTCAGGTAATAGTATTAAAGAAACAAAAAGTAACAAACATTTTATCATTCTCTTCCTTCCCAATATTTTTTTCTTGAAATTCTTTAAACTATTATGATAATCTTGGAGTGCTTTTTTAAATCTTCACTTCTTCATTCATTCACTCACTTATTCATTCATCTACTCATCCATTAAATATGTTTTATAGACCTACTCCTTGTTAGACCTAAAGCCAAATCAATGGACATTAAAAGATAAATAAGGAACTCTCAAAAAATCAACAAGGTCATAGTTTAGGTTTGCATCCTGGCATAAAGCCTTGTGAAAATAGTAAACTGAGTTAGGTATATTTAAATGTAACCCATAGAGTCAGGAAAGACTCAGAAAGGTATACTGAGCAAGAATGTAAATTATTTAGTTAAAAAGCTGAGGGATAATTTAAGAGGTAGGGAAAATGCACCCAGTAATGGAAAAATTATGTTTAGAAAAACATTTAGGTATTCATTCTAAATATTCTAACATATATTGCATTCAGGTACAGTATATAATCAACATACAACTGGATGATACAGAAATAAAAAGGATAATAAAGATATATTATGAAAAATTATTTGTCAATTAATTAGATAATCTAAATGGCATGCACACAAAACTGTTAAAGCTGGATCAAGAAGAGACAGAAAATCTGAATACATTTCTAATAAGAAAGATATTTATCAGTAGTCAAAAATCATCACACAAGGAAAATCCTAGAATCCATTCAAATGGATTTGCTGGTTAATTTGACCAAACCATAAAAAAATTAAAACCAATCCTTCACAAACTCTTCAAAATATAGAAAGGGAGGGAATACTATTCAATTTATTACATGATGTGATTTTATTCTGATATCAAAACCAAGCAAAGAAATCACAGAAAACTGAGACCAATATGCTGTATGAATTTAGATGTAAGTTTCCCAAACAAAATATAAGCAAACAGAATGCAACAACATATAAAAAGGATTATATATAATCCACAACCAAGTGGGCTATAGTCTAGAAATTGCAAGGTTGGTTCAACCTATGAATATTGGCCAATGAAATACCCAATATTTAAAAGATAAAGTACAAGACCCACGTGATCATGGTCAATCTATCAACATAGAAATAGCATTTGACAAAAATAAATATGCTTTTATAATGAAAATATTGAATAAATTGTTTTTTATCTTCCTTAATATCATAAAACAGGTCTACAAAATGTCATGGCTAATATAAAGTGAAAGAATGCTTTCTCTCTAGGATGACAACAAGAATGTCTATCCTCTCAACCTCTATATAACATGTATTAGAGGCTCTAACTAATGCAAATATACTTCTATTTGTAGATGACATAATGACGTATATAGAAAATCCTAAACAATCCAGGTTAAAAACTATTAGAGCAGTAAATAAATTCAATAGTGTTGTAAGATCCAATATCAATGTAAAAAAATGGCTTTGTGTATATAAACAATGAATAATATAAAATAAAAATTATAAAATTCTAAATAATAATAGAATAGAAAAGAATAAAATCTTGGGAATAAATTTCATAAAACAAGTTCAAGCCTTGAAAATTGAAAACTATAAAACACTGTTGAAAGAAATTAAAGACAGCCTAAATAAATGCAAAAACTAATATCACAAAGATGGTAATACTTCACAGGTTTTCAAGATGGCAGAACAGAGCAGGTCCCTTTCCTGGCTTCTCTGTGAAGTATAACCAAGAAAGCAAACAGGCAGCTTCTCAGGAAGGTGGGGGAACATAAAAAAGCAGGGGACAATAGTGGCATTTAAAACTGAACATTCAAAGCAGATCAGGGACTCAGGAGGCTGGATATAATAAAATGAGGAAGAAACCCCCAGTAACATAACCATTGACACAGGCCAGAAGCAACAGCCAGAGTGGTCCCTCCATGAGCATAGTGGAGCAATAGGGAATTAAAGGAACCCCCATTTTGGGGAGGCCGGGAGACATGTCTGAGTATGAAGTGTAGAGATCAAGGACATTGCCCAGCAAACCTGAAAGACATGCTGCACAATAACCATGTAAAGAAAGAAGTTGCCAGGCCTGGGATTGTGGCTCAGTGGTACAGCGCTCGCCTAGCACAGGTGGGACCAGGGTTTGATCCTCAGCACCACATAAAAATAAAGGCATAACTAAGTTTAAAAAAAGAAAGAAAGAAAGAAGCTGCCATTTCTCCAGGTGGTGTGTGAAAGACAAAGGAAGGAAACATTCTGCAGCCTGCTGTGTGGGGGCTGGCAGCTGAGGGGGCTGGTTCCTGGCAAACTAAGTTTGGCTCGAAATCCAGGCCCAGTAAACACACACTGCAAGAGATAGAGTGTGCTTAAGCAACCAGGAGAGAATAAAACATGGAGAGAGGTTTCTACAGGGGACAACTGGTCGTGGAAACCCTCTGGCTCTACCCTTCCTCCTCCAATCCAAATGATTGTAGGACTTGCTAGGAGAGACATATCTGGCTGGGAACTCAAAAGGGCAAGGGCAGGAGAGATTCTTTGGAGACTGAACACTCAACCAGGAAATGTGGGGTCCAAAGGTGAGGTAAGGGACTAAGAATTGGATCCCCTACCACAAGAGTTGAACCCAGGGGAGATCCCTGGGGTACAGTCTTTCAGCATGAACCAGCACTGGAGGTGTGCTGATTTAAAATCTCCAGAACAATTGGCATTCTGTGAAGAGTCTGGAGCCCACCTAAACCTAAAATCTGCCTCCAGGAATTCCACCTACAGGATTATCTCTCTCACTCCAGCAATCCAGAGGGTGGAGCATCAGGCTCCAGACAATCCCACCTAAAACAGCTGAGAAGAGAAACTAAAAATCTTTTGAACTCCAATGGAAAGAATCCTTCAGCTTTTCATCAAGATCTTTAATTTTTTTTCTCTGTTTAACTGTGACCTTAATGGTACATAGAATTTGATACATATTCATATTTGTTTTTTCTCATTGCTAGCATTTTTGAAGCCAGTTATTTTTTATGGGTTAGTTTTTTATGAACCAGGATATTTGATTAGTATATTTTAGTTTTGTTTTGTATTCTTTTATTTTTATTTTTAATTTTTTTTCATTTTAACTTTATATATTTTCTCCTACCATTTCGCTTTGATTCTCTCTTTTCTTCTGCTAACAGCCAATCTCTATTGTTCTCTATTTCACTCTTCCTTTAATTTTTTCTTCTTCTCTCCTCCTCCCTCATAATTATCACAATCTATATCACTTCCATTCTCTTCTTGTCTACCATTTGAATTATAAACCTTTTTGCAAACTTGCTATTTTTTATTGTAGGCAATAACTGATCATATCATTTCTGTTTACTGTGATGATTAACATTATAGATATCATAGTAGGAACTATTTGGTTTAATGCTGTATTGGTGGTTGTTATTATTTGTCTCCCTCTAAACAGTGAAGTACTAGAAATCTTCAGGAACACAGAAGGTACACCACAGGGTACAAACTTTACTGTCTCAGATCCATACTGTTAGATGGGTAGACATATAAACAACATAAAGCAGCAAGGGAACAACTCACCCCAAACAAACCAAGATACTCCAACAACAGAATCCATTGACACCAAAGTGGAAGAAATGTCAGAGAAAGAGTTTAGAATGTACATAGTTAAACTTATCTGTGAAGTAAAGTATAGTATAGAAAATGAAAACAGAGAGAAAATGTAAGAAGTGAAAGATCATTTCAGTAAAGAGGCAAAAGTTCTGAAAAAAGAAACCAAGCAGAATCCTCAAAATTAAGGAAAAAACTTACCAAATTAAAAATTCAAAAGAAAGCATCACCAACAAACTAGACCACTTGGAAGACAGAACCTCAGGCAATGAAGGCAAAATATCTACTCTTGAAAACAGAGTTGACCATGGAGAGAAGATGTTAAGAAACCATGAAAAGAACTTTCTAACACGGGCGGGACCCGTTATCCCAGGATAACATGAAAAGACGAAATTTAAGATTTTTCAGGACAGATGAAGGCACAGAGATACAAACCAAAAGAATGCACAATCTTTTCAATGAGTTAATATCAGAGAAATTTCTTAATCCTAAAAAAATGAAATGGAAAATCAAATACAAGAGGCTTACAGAACACCCCAAAATACGAAATTACAATGGGCCCACACCAAGGCACATTATAATGAAAATGCCTAACATACAGAATAAGGATAGAATTTTAAAGGCTCCAATAAAAAAAAAATCAGGTTACATATATGGGAAAACCAATCTGGCTCTCAGGTGATGTCTCAACCCAGACCCTCAAAGCTAGGAGGTCCTAGAATAAAATATACCAAGCTCTTCAAGAAAATAATGCCAACCAAGAATCTTATATCCAGAAGAATTAAGCTTCAGATTTGAAGATGAAATAAAAAAAACCTTCCATGATAAACAAAAGTTAAAAGAATTTGCAACCAGAAAGCCTGCACTACAGAACCTTCTCAACAAAATATTCCAGGAAAATGAAATGAAAAAAAAAAGTGAAAACAGGAACTATACTAAAGGAATAGTCAATCAAAGGAGAAGGTAATTTCAATTAAAAACTAGAAATCCAATGACCAGGAATACAAATCATATCTCAATAATAACCTTGAATATTAATGGCCTAACTCATCAATCAAATGACACAGACTGGCAGATTGGATTAAAAACAAGACCTAACAATTTGCTGTATCAAAGAGACTCATTGAATAGGCAAAGACAGCCACAGACTGAAATTAAAAGGGTGGGAAAAAATATATTACTCAAATGTATCACGTAAACAAGCAGGGGTTTCTATCCTCATATCAGAAAAAAGTAGACTTTAAGCTAAAGTTAATTAGAAGGGGCCAAGAAGGCCATTTCATACTGCTTAAGGGAATTACACATCAACAAAACTTAACAATCATAGATATTTAAGAATAAGAATAGGATTTTAAAGGCATAGCTTTTATGTCCCAAACAATGGAACATCCACATACATTCAAACAAACCCTTCTCAAAATCAAATAAACCACAACACATTATTACTGGGTAACTTTAATATGCCTCTGTCGCCACCGGATAGAGCCTCCAAACAAAAATGAAATACAGAAGATATAGAAGTAAAAAATAAAATTGATAATTTAGACCTAACAGACATATATAGAATATATCATCCATCAATGACTCAATACACTTTCTTCTCAGAAAAGAAGATCTTTCTCTAATGTAGACCATGTTATAAAGCTATCACATATGTTGGCATATAATTGTAATATAATGTAATTGTAATGTAATATTTATTCTCTAGTAACTGACCCCAAAGAAAAAGAAATGTATGAATTGCTTGAAAAGATAATGATCTGAAAGAAACTCAGTAAGATAAAGTTAATGCAGATAGTTCAATGCAGTAAATTTACAAGCAAGAGCTCTGCAGAAAAGCACAGTAATGACCTCAGTTATTACTCACCATTAACTGGTATATAGTCTGCTGGCTGTTTAAGCTCCTTTTCTGAGAGCTTTATTTCCAAGTTTTTTAGAACAGTATTCACTTTATTTTGTTTAACTTTTCCCCCTTAGAAAAAGGCACAGAGAATGCAAAACATTATCAAAATATGAGAAGGATATTAAATATTAGAAACATTAGTCATATTAAAATGAAAAAATTCAGAGTAAAGGAAAATATCATCAATTTTCAGTTCAAATACTGCTTTAAACATGAATGACTGACTTTGGATAAACTTTGTCTTGGTGAAACTATATCCAGGAAATAGTTTATAAAGCAATTTTGCAACTGGAGGTAAAGATAACCAATGAAATGTATAGAACAGAGGAATTTAAGAAAACTAGTACTAATTTCCTCTGTGATGTTGAAATTACTCTAGAATTGGTTTATCCACGCTTGAAGATACTTTATGAGTATAGATTGTTTTAAGATAGAAAGCTACTGCAAAGATATCAAAACAGGGAAACAAGAAATAGTAATATATTACATATATGATATATATTAGATATATGTAACATATTATGTATATAATGTTATATACATACATCTCTCTATCAATTACCTCAGATAATATCTGAAAAGACTTAAGTCAAAAATGGTGTGAAGCTGAAACAAGAATTGGAGCTTGGAAAGAAAATGTATTTATGTAAACTATAAAACATGGACTCAGAGATTATAAAAGTTAGATAAAATGCTCCCATTTGACATATGGGAAAACAGACTACAAGAGAAATTGAAAAATGGAGCTTCTGGCAATCAATGTTTCATTTTTAAGGTGACACTCGATTTAGTTGATAATAATACAGAGAAAATTATAAAATGGAAAGTACCTTGGGTAATTTACACTTTTTAAATTTTTTAGGAAGTAATCTTACTGATTTCTTCCCAAAGGCCTCGTAGCACCAGGAGGCATTGTTCCTGTGCACAGAGATTCCCCTCAACAGGCATTTAGTAGGGCTTCTAAATTTTTTTCCTCATATTCTCCATTCCCTTTTATTTTTGGACAATGTACTAGCAAGAGTGAAGGGAGAAAAAAATAGAAGCACTAAAATATATTCTAATTAGAGAAACCATAATGAAACTTAATGGCTTTAATTCTACTTGAAAATAATACTTAATCTTTCTTAAAATAGGCAGAAATTATTTTTGGTTCTCTTTGCTTCTTTTGTTAATTTCAGAAAAGCCACCTTTCTTTGTCTTAACATTTTTCTATCTACCTACAAGTCAAATTATACTTTGAGGGCTTAATTTTAAAATAAATATATGAGAGATTGTAGACCTTTTATAAAGACAAAAAAAATTACTCAAGAAAATATATTTATCATGAAAGAAGATGAATTTAAAAATTAATTCATATAAAGGGTAGGTTGCTAATTATTAAAAATATAATTTAAGCCTTAAATCTCAAATTGTAACTCACCTTTGAAAGACATTATACCATTCAACAATATGTTTTTATAGATCTTCCCAGAAGCTAAAAAGCAAAGCACACTTTCAACTCAAAGCATATTTTATGCTAAACAAACTGTGATTTAGACACTTATAAAATGGTACATATATTTCCTAATTTCAGAAAGAATTACTGAATAAATATGTTGTTTTTGGCCAATAAAAATTGAAGATCTGAATTAAGAATTTATTAGTTTGACAAGTTATACAATTTTTAACACCTGAGACAGTTTTCAATAGTTTCTACTATGCTGACATTCCTTTGTTTCTTTTTTTTTTAACCTCTTGTATTCAATTCTTCTAAAAATTTCTCAAACTACCACTTTCCTTATTTTCTTTCTTAGTAAAGTTTTTCCATTGGCTACAGAGGATGAAATTTGCTTATCCTTTGATAGTCTGGGTTAAAAGGAGCAAATGAGTATCTAACTATATAATATAAAGCATTTTCCAGTTGTTTAAATAATTTTCAAATGCTACATAAAGAGTATTTTTTTAAAAAACTTCGCATAATCCCATAAAATTAAACTCTCTAAAAGGCAACAAGCTTTCTGATGAATTTTTTGGGTCTTCTAAATATAGAATAACATTTTCAGCAAATAGGTATAATTTGAGCTCCCCTGTCCATTCGTATCCCTTTAATTTCTTTCTTCTGCCCAATTTTTTCTGGCTAGAGTTTCTAGGACTATATTGAATAGAAGTAGTGAAAGAGGGCACCCTTGTCTTGTTCAGTTTTTAGAGGGAGTGCTTTCAAATTTTCTCCATCAGAATGATGTTGGCCCTGGGTTTAGCATATATAGCTTTTGAAATGTTGAAATATGTTCCTACTATCCCTAGTTTTCTAGTATTTTGAACATGAATGGATGCTGCATTTTGTCAAATGCTTTTTCTGCATCTATTGAGATAATCATGTGATTCTTGTCTTTTAAGTCTATTGATGTGATAAGTTATGTTTATTGACTTTTGTATGTTGAACCAACCTTGCATTGCTGGGAAGAACGCTTCTTATCATGGTGCACTATGTTTTTGCATGTGATTTGCCAGTACTTTATTAAGAATTTTTGAATCTATGTTCATCAGGGATATTGGTCTGAAGTTTCTTTCCTTGATGTGTCTTTTTCTGATTTTGATATCAGGAAAATATTAGCTTCATAAACTGAGTTTGGAAGGGTTCCCCGCTTTTCTATTTCATGGAATAGTTTGAGGAATGTTGGTGTTATTCTTTGAAGGTCTAGTAGAACTCAGCTGAGAATCATACTGGTCCAAGGCTTTTCTTTGTTGGTAGGCTTTTGATGGCATCTTCAATTTCATTGCTGGAAATTTATCTATTTAAATTTTCTATGTTCTCTTGATTAAATTATGGTAGTCATATGTCTCTAGAAATTTGTTGATGTCTTCATGATCTTTTATTTCACTGGAGTATAGATTCAAAATAGTTTCTGATTATCATTTGTATTTCAGTATTGTTTATGGTAATATTTCCTTTTCATCACACACAAATTTTAGTTTTTTAGTTTTCTTTCTTTTTCATCATTAGGTTTGCCAAGAGTTTACCAATTTTATTTATTTATTCAAAAAAACCAACTTTTGTTTCATTATTTATTTATTTATTTTTTTTGCTTTTTGTTGTTTCATTTCATTGATTTTGGCTCTGATTTTAATCATTTTCTCTTTTTTACTGCTTTTCTTGTTGATTTTTGTCTTTTCAAGGGCTTTGAGATATAATGTTAGTTTATTTTTTGGTGATTTTATATTCTTTCAGTGAATGAGCTCCTTGCAATGAACTTTTCTCTTAGAATTGCCTTTAGTCTCCCAGAAATTTTGATATATTGTGTTGTTATTCACATTTACCTCTAAGTATTTTTGAAATTTCATCCCTAATTTCTTCTGCCATCCATTGGTCATTCAATAGCATATTATATAGTCTCCAAGTATTACAGTAGCTTCTATTTTTAGTTTTATCATTGATTTCTAATTTCATTCCATTATGATCCGATAAAATGAAGTTATTATCCTTTTTTTTTGTATTTGCTAAGCATTGTTCTGTGGACAAAGATAAGGTCTATTTAGAGAAGGATTCATGTGCTGCTGAGAAGTATATTTGTCATTGATGGATGAAATATTCTATATATATCTGTTACGTCTAAATTATTAATTGTAGTTTTTAGTTCTATAGCTTCTTTATTTAGTTTGTAAAAATCTATCCAATGATGATAGAGGTATGTTAAAGTCACCCAGTATTATTATGTTGTGGTCTATTTTATTCTTGAAATTGAAAAGGGTTTTTATTTTTTAATTTTTTATAGTTATAGATGGACAGAATGCCTTTATTTTATTTGTTTATTTTTATGTGGTATTGAAGATTGAACCCAGTGCCTCGTGCTTGCCTAGCATGCATGAGTTACAGCCCCAGCCCAACAAGGGTTTGTTGATGTACATAGATGCTCCATTGTTTGGGGCATAAATATTTACAATTGTTATTTCTTGGTGATGTATAAATGCCTTAAGCAGTATGAAATCACCTTCTTTGTCCCTTCTCATTAACTTTGGTTTAAAGTCCACTTTATCTGATAAGAGAACAGAAACCCCTGCTTGTTTATGAGATCCATGTGAAAGATATATTGTTTTTGTTTTGTTTGCCCAGCTTTTTACCTTCAGCCTGTGGATGTTTTTGCCTATGAGGTGAATATATTGGAGACGGCATATTGTTGGGACTTGTTTTTAAATCTAATCTGCAAGTCTGTGTCTTTTGATTGAGTTTACGCCATTTACATTCAATGTTATTAATCAGATATTATTTTTATTCCCTGTCATTTTGGTTTATTTCCAATTTTAATTTGAATTGGTTTCTCTTTAGATTGACTTTTCCTTTAGTGTAGTTCCTCTCTTTGCTGGTCTTCACTTTTATTTTTCATTTCTTTTTCATGAAATACTTTATTGAGTATGTTTTTGTTGTGCAGGCTTTCTAGTTGTGTTCTTTTGCCTTTTGGAAGTATTTTATTTCATAATCAAATCTAAAGCTTAATTTTTCTGGATATAGGATTCTTGGTTGGCATCCATTCTCTTTCAGAGCTTGGTATATATTATTCCAAAACCTCCTTGTTTTGAGGGTCTGCATTGAAAAATCAACTGAGATCCAAATTCTTTTCCCTCTAAATGTAACCTGTCATTTTTTCTAAGTGTAGTCTTTAAAATTCTATCCTTACCCTGTATGTTGGGTAGTTTCATGATAATGTGCCTTGGTGTGGATCAATTGTAATTTTTTATATTTGGAGTCCTTAAAGCCTGCTATATTTGGTTTTCCATTTAATTTTTAAGGTTTGGGAAATTTTCTAATATTATTTCATTGAAAAATTGTGCATTCCTTTGGTTTGTATCTCTGAACCTTCATCTATCTTGATAAATCTTAAGTTTGGTCTGTTCATTTATCCCATATTTCTTGTAAGTTCTGTCCATGGTCTCCTACCAACTTTTCTTTATGGTCTACTTCATTTTCACGATTATATATTTTGTCTTCATTGCCTGAAACTCTGTCTTCCAAGTGGTTGAATCTGCTGGTGATGCTTTCCAATGAGTTTTTAGTTTGGTTTATTGATTTCTTTATTTCAGGAATTTCCAGCTCATTCTTCTTCAGGATCTCTATCTCCTTATTGAAGTGATCTTTCAATTTTTGTATTTTCTCTCTGATTTTATTTTTTATGTAATCTTTTACTTCATAGATTAGTTTAACCATGAATTTTTCTGAATTCCATCTCTGATATTTCCTCCATTCTGGTGTCAATGGAGTCCATTGTTGGGCTATTCTGTGTTGTTTGGGACAGTTTGTTCCCTTGCTTTTTCATATTGTTTGTGTGTCTACCTATCTATCTGGATGGATCTGAAACTGTAAAATTTCTACCTTATGAGTTTATAGTATCCCTCTATGTTATATCACAGACTGGTGGAAGGAGCCCAATGACAGCAAAAATCTATGCAAACAAATATATCATAGTAGACTAAGTACTTAGTTCCTATTTTGACATCTACAGTGTTAATTGGTAAAATATGCAGAAATAGTAGGATCAGCAACTTCCTCCCATAAAAAGAGTATATAGCATGAATTATTTCTGGCTTAAAGTCAAACAACAGGTGTTGCATGTGATTTTCACCATATTAATTATTGCTGTGACATCAGTGGTAGGGGCAGATATAGTATATATCAATTAGTATTAAGAGGTGTTAAGGACAGAGTTGAGTATAAAGAAAGAAGAGACAGAAGGAAGTTAGAAAGGTGTTTGCAATTTCAAAGGGTGAATAGGGGAGATGCAGTGGTAACTTAGGATATGTTGTTAATGAGAAAAGGGAAGAAAAATAGAGGAATATATAGGAGGAGAGAGTAATTTTGCTGTCAGCAATAGAAAAAAGATAGAGTGAGCAGAATGAGACAAAGGAGATAGAGTAGTGGCAAAGCTATACAAAACAAAGTTGAAAAAGGCTAATCAAGAAACCTAGCCCTCAAAATACAGAGGATGGGAAAACAATATCTAAAAATAAAAAGGTAAGAAATGAGGAAAGGGAGACAAGTGTGTGTGTGTGTGTGTGTGTGTGTGTGTGTATCAGTACACATTCAAATAAAACAGAAACCTAATATAGATAACCAAAACCAAAAATCAAAACAAAGCAACAATGAGGGGGGAAAAAAAGAAAAATCTTGTTGGTGAAATGTTGAAAAAAAATTAAGAAGTTGTTTCCACTAGAGTGGACAAAATAGTCAGTGAGCATATGTGTTCACTGTCTGTGCCAAACTGATTTTCTTTTTTGTTTCTTCTTCTTAGGTATGAAATGAACATGGGAGTATGGGCCGTGGGCTATCAAGTCCTTCCTTTTTACTGTGTTGCTCACTGAGTTGAAGGTTGGCGATTTAGACTTCCCAATTTCCTTTCTTGGGAGATTAGTGTGGGTGGGCTAGGCTGCAGGTCAGTGACAAAGCTGCTGCTGGGGGATGCGGGCCTTGCAGCAAATTGGCATGTCCAGCAAGCTGGGCTGTGGCTGGGCAATGAAGCAGCTGGCTGGGTTAGATGGTGTAGCAGCCTGCTGGGCAGATCAAGCCAATCAGGTTGGGAAGGCCAGGTAGCCAAGCTGTGAGCTGGGTATGGTGGCCTGGCTGTGAAGTGGTGGGCCAGGCAAGCTGTGCAACAGCTGGGTGGTGAAGTGGCTGGCCATGTCTGGTAGGCCTATCTAGCCTGGCAGATCAGGGCTGGGTGACAGGTCCTGTAGATATGCAGCAAAGCTGTGTCTGGCTTGGTGCAAGGGCTTGGTGAGTGCTGGCCCAGGTGGGCCCCTGGGAACCCAGTGGATGTCAGACTGGGCAAGCCAAGAGCCAAGTATCCTCACACCCATGGTCTCTCCAGTCTCTCCAACCTGCATACACCCAGGGCAAAATGCTCCCAGTTTCTGACTTTTCACAGATTTGCTAGGCCCAGCCAAGTCCTTGCTAGGCTTAGACAGGCCCATGCAGACCTAGCTGCAAACTCACAGATCTGGGTTTCCAGTTTCCATTGATTCAGCTACATTGCAGTCCCAAGATGGGTCCTGGATGGGCTCTTCACAAATTATTTTTAAACAGAGACTTTTTTTTAGATGCATTTAATGAGTTAAACTTAAGTTTCTAGTTAGGCTAGGGCATAATGCCCCTCCAGCCTCAGGATTTTTCACTCTAAGCCTTGGGGGCAGTATTCTTACTGTTTGAGTTCTGGATAGTTGAGCTAGGAGAAATGCTGCCTCACTCTAATCCACCATCTTGCCCCCTCCCAGAACTCTTTTTTTAAAAAAATCATCTCAATGTATTCATTAAGAAAAATTTTGAGCATATACAAAAGCTGAATAGTCTGATATATTCCTGTCTTAAACAATTAATGTTATTTTACTTTTATATATAATTATCTTTAAGGTGAAGTTGGATTAACCATTTTTTAAAAAAATTATAAATAACATTTCACTTATATAACTTTACATAAATGTAAAATGTATAAAATTTGGATCATTTCATTCATGTTAATTTTTTTTTTTTTTTAGTCTAGACTTCCTTTTAAAAAATCCCGTTCTTCCCTTTTTCCCTCTCAGACTACAAGTACAGTCACAAGAAGCCCCCAATAATTCATGTTAACAAATTACACCTACATTATATCTATCTATATATAGAGAGAGATAATTACATTAGCATGAGAAATTTCATTCTGAATGATATTTTAAAGTATTTTTTATTTGATGTCATATTAGGAAGTGTATAGATCTTCTCATAAACAAAACAAAAATGTATACTGCCTTCAGCACCATATTAATATTTAAAAGCTTACCATTAACTGGTAGATTTTTTGCCAGCTCTGTATATTCTTTATCTGTGAGAGTTATTCCCATTGTTTCCAGAACATTTTTCACATCACTGACATCAACTTCTTCTCCTTCAACATACAAAAATGAACACACATTAGTATAGAGAAATATGTTATACATTAAAAAACATGTTGATATTAATACAACTTTAGATTCAATAATTATATGATCATATATCACACAAATATGCCAACTGTTAATAATTCTCATTAATTGTGGTAGAAATAAAATTTTTCTATAACAATAAAGAATGATTCAGTTTATATAATGTAAATTGGGATATTGTAGGTATACATTTACTTTATTAGGATACTATTTACTTCTATTCTCTTCATGATAACAGATTGCTATAAAACTTGTTGTACTAATTTAAATTTTGTTTTTCGAGATCAGGAATAGTGACTATCTATTGGCAAATATAATATCCCAGACACAAAAGAATTTGCTATCAGAATTTTGTACTGAGATAGCACTAAAATGAAGATATTTTAAACTATAATTGTAGGCAGATATTCATTAATATAGAGGAAAGGGGACAGAAGAAAAATTGAATGAAAAATAATAGTACTGTATAAAATATAATTTAGTATAAAAATTAAGACATTATATTTATGGTAACCAACCTGTAATAGTTTCCACTGCATCCAGCAATGCGCTGAGATCAACCTTCGCATTAGCTGTAAGAAAAATCATAATTAGAATAAGGCAAAATAATAAGAAGGTAAAAAAGCCAAATTAAGAATTAAGAGTCCAGGGGTTGGGGTTATGGCTCAGTGCCAGAGTGCTTGCCTTGCACATGTGGGGCATTGGGTTTGATCCTCAGCACCACATAAAATGAATAAATAGAATAAAGGTATAGTATCCATCTACAATTAAAAAAAGTTACAAAAAGAATTAAGAGTTCATCCACAATTTAAATCTGAATCAATAAAAAAATCATATACAATGATTACAAAAGTTCATTTGATGGTAGGGAGAACATTGGCTAAGAAAATTAATTTTTCCTAAGACTTACGCTTGTAAGAATGGAAGAATAGACTAGTGATGGTGGACTGGTCACTGGCAACCCTTACTTCTAGTGCAAACCCAAAGTCCTTTCTAAGATCTACATTGAAACAGAGACCCCATTTTTCATTAATCTTGAATACTTTTTCTTAAGGTATTTCAACTGCTAACTTGGAATGGCTGATGATAAGTGTTTTCAATCTTTCATTACCAACAAATTCATAAAGTTTGGATAAATATTTTCACCTTCTATATTTGAGGGAAAGGAATCAATAGTTAGAACTAGAGAGTTATGGAAACATGGTACTGTTTCAGTATCAGGAAGAATTGATAAAACCAGATAGCAGTGGTTATGAGTAAAGGCAGTGAAAGGGAGGTAAGTCTGAGGTTCCAAGAGGTGTGGAATATTTGATCCAGAGTCTGTCCTGGGAAGTAATAGGGCAGGAACCTGCATGAGACAAGACTCTAAGCTGCACCTATGCTCTATTTCCCCATTAGACTTCAATTAGGAAACAAAAATTCAAATAAACTCAAGAAGAATTTCAAGATGGCAAATGTAGAGTATTAAGCCCCGAGCTTTTTTTTTTTTTTTGATCTGGCAAAATAATATTTTTTATTAGTTGCTCAAGACAATACAATGATCTTGACATATCATACATTTGCTTCAAATAGGGTATGAATTCTCATTTTTCCACGTGTACACATTGCAGGATCACATTGGTTATACATCCATGTGTATACATACAGCAATCCTAGTGTCAGTTGTATTCTGCTGCTCTCCCTATCCCCCCCTACCCTACCCTACCCTCCCATCACTATTCTCTACCCATTCTACTGTGACACTTCTCTCTCTTTCTCTTTTTTTTCTTCCCTTCCCCCTCACACCATCGTATATGTATTTTGTGAACCCATGAGGGTCTCCTTCTGTCTTCCGTGCAATTCCCCTTCTCCCACCCTTTCCCTCCCTCCTCTTTAACTTGTTTTGTGGTAATCTTCTTCTCATGCTCTTCCTTCCTACTCTGTTTTGAGTCACCTCCCTTATATCAGAGAAGACATTCGGCATTTGTTTTTTAGGGATTGGCTAACTTCGCTTAGCATAATTTGCTCTAGTGCCATCCATTTCCCTGCAAATGCCATGATTTTGTTATTTTTTAATGCTGAGTAATATTCCATTGTGTATAAATGCCACATTTTTTAATCCATTCATCTGTTGAAGGGCATCTGGGTTGGTTCCACAGTCTACCTATTGTGAATTGTGCTGCTATGAACATTGATGTAGCTGTGTACCCTGTAGTATGCTCTTTTTAGGTCTTTTGGGTATAGTCCGAGAAGGGGAATAGCTGGGTCAAATGGTGGTTCCATTCTCAGCTTTCCAAGGAATCTCCATACTGCCCTCCAAATTGGCTGCACCAGTTTACAGTCCCACCAGCAATGTACAAGTGTACCCTTTTCCTCATATCCTCGCCAGCATTTGTCTCTTCTAGAATTAAGTGAGGTATATAAGAGTCAGTGATATTACAAATCACCCCCCTTCCTAATTGATTCATTCATTTAACAGACAATATTTATTTAACATCTACTCTGAGCACTGTATATGCAAGAAAGACAAATTTCTTCTTTCTATGCAGATTATGTTTTACTGCCTGCTAATAAAATCAAGGAAGAATACTAGATACAAAGGCTTCATGCAACCTGTTTCTGAAATATATGGAATTTTGTATTTGTGTGTTTTTCTATTTTTTATTATATAAATTGTAATGTTACTATTTTACATTATGCAATTTTGCTATTATGTAGTAATAAGAAACATAATGTTTCAAAATTTTAATGTTATAATATCAACATTTGATGTGGCATGAATTTTTGGTAAAATTTTTTTAAAAATCATTCTTTCTATCCCACATACAGAGCAATGAACTATATGGTAAAACATTTGAATTATAATCCTGGCCCTGAATATAAGAAATCTCGTACCCTTAAGCAAGTTAATAAACATCTCTGAATCTAAAAAAAAAAAAAAAAGCCCCGAGCACAGCACTCTTTTGAGCTTATGTTTCTGTCCAACTGCACTGGTTTCACATCATAGAGCTTCCCCTAAACCCTATGGTTACACCTAAAAACTAGACAGAGGGAAGTTTTATCTAGTGCAAACAAATCCGTTAATATAAACATTCAAGAGGAAGGTTGTTTATATAAACTGAAACCCCTATTCCTGAGAACTTCATAAAATTTCTAGATGGGCATTTTTAATATAATAAGATAATGAATCACACTATTATAGTAAATAATAATCTAAGAAGTGACTAGGACTTGAAGAACATGAGACTGAAGTAGGGAGATAACACAGAAGTTGAAAGGTTAACCCTGAGTTGAGGCTGAGTCATTTTACAAGAGTATAAATTTTTAAGTTATATGCATGACTATGCTTGTGGTTAGGTGTAGATTGAGTTGAGAGAAGATATATAATAAGATGATGTGGGGGATGTGGTTGTGGCTCATTGGCAGAGTGCTTGCCTAGCATGTGCTAGGCCCTGGGTTCAATCCTTAGCACCTCATAAAAATAAATAAACAAAATAAAGATATTGTGTCCAACTACAATTAAAAAAATATTAAAAAAAATAAAATGATGTGGCAAAAGTTTTTAGACAAACAGCATCTATTCACTTGTAAAAGAAACTTTTATAGACTTCTAAAAGAAAGGTACTATGATATACATAGAGAAGAAATACAGAGGATGCTAAAAGTAGCATAATCTCTACCTTCAAGTATATCAGAGTCTCATGGAGAGAAAAGACACCTCAATTGATAGTTGTTATCAAAGAAATGAAAGGAGAAATTTTCCACTTATTGAGTAAGGTGAGATTTCTGTTAATATCCTGGAATGCCACTCATATCCAACAGGGAAGACAGATATTTTAGTGACAGTGAGGCAAAGTGAGAGACAGGAAATAATAACAAAGGATGGGCATCAAGACCTAATATAAGAGAAACTTCAAAATCCTAGTCTTAGGCTAGAAACCTTGGACTTTTGCGGGGGTAGGGTGGTCAAAGGCAAGTCATTAAAGTGATTCAAGCAGAGAAATGTAATATTTATATTTTAAGTATAATATTCTGAGAGCTCAAAATAATCAATTTTAAAGGAAATAATCTATAATTAGAGATTACTTCATTTAATAATTAACAGGATATAATCAGAGAGGGTGCATGAGTGCAAGGTGACATAAAACATTCTAGCTCATGTGAAAACAATAATTCGGCCGACTAAGAGAAAAATTAATGTTTGGCAGAAAATTATTAAACATGGTGAAAATAAGAAAACATCAATAAGAGCTTTTGATACATTGATCTTCTATTCAGGGCAAACCTTAAACTGCTGATATTGAAGTCTTCAGCATAGACATAATTATGAAAAAAAGTTCCCTGGGTAAATGTGTACAAATAAAATGAATAATGGTCATTGAAGTTTATAGAGATTGATTGAGCAATGACTGTTAGTAAGGACATTGTTTATTTAAATGTTCTCATTGTGCTCCATATGCATTTTCTAATTTGATAGTAGTCTTGAATACTTTATGCATTTCTAGGCAATGCAAAGAACACAGTAGGGAAGAAGTTAATGACTATAGATTTCCAAAACAGAGATATGCCCTATTCTTATTTTTTCATATATGAAAATTAAGAGATAGGTTCTATGGCAAAAAAGCAACTAATGATCCATCAAAATGCCTGCTTTCTTCATAATGTAGAATTGTAAATGGAATTGGATGCCCAACCAGATACTACACTTCTAACACCCTTTGCATTAGATATAGCCATGTGAATAAATCTAAGCAAAGGGATAGTTGTATTAATTATGTATATCACATATCCCTCCATCATGTATCTTTTCTATCCCATCAGTCAGATACAAGCAATGAAAAGACCCTAGAAAGCGACTCCAACTTGTAAGGAATCTGAATTCCTATATCACTAAATGGAGAAGAGCCACTGCTCACCATCCAAAAATATTCTCACGCTTAAACTTTTAAGAGAGAATTAGTCAACTGTGTTTCAGCATGATGTGTTTTGAATTTAATTGTTTTAAAATAAAAACTTAGCTTACTCTTATTAAAGTAAAATAAGCAGGAGGCCATTAGCCTAAGGTCGTTTCCATGCCTAGAACCCTTAAACAAGTAACTGAAACTCAACTTACAAGTATTCATTTTAACTAATCAAATTTAGAAAGAAAAACCACCAAGCTAAATCAAACTTAAGCCAATTACAATTTTCATCAGTTATGTAAATAAGAATCACACCCAAGTAAGGCAAATGCTTAGCTGTAGTAAATCAGATAAAGTTTCTTCACTTCTGCATTCAGTGTTTAAAAGCCTACTGCTCACCTACTGAAGCTCTTCTGGTTCTGAGTGCTGCCCAGTTTGTGAATCTTTTAATGTTTAATGTTAACACTATTAAATTTGTTTTGTCTACAAATTTTTTAACACCCTAAATCATACGTATTATGTTCTTATTGTTTCTCCCTTATTTTTGCAAAATGATTCTTTGTACACAAAATATTACTAGTTAATATAGTTTTCCTTATGTAAACACAATGTCATTTCCTTTCTAAGATCCAGTGCCATCTACAATGCTCACCAGTAAGTGGAAGATTTTCTGTCAGACTTTCATGTTCATTTTCTGTGAGTTCAATCCCCAAGTTTCCAAGAACAGTGTCTATGTCACTGACGTTCACTGTTCCTCCTTAGAAAGAAGCCAAAAAGAATGATGAAGAAAACAGTTAATAATTTCAAAGTATAGATGTATTTAAGCATAAATTTTATTTTACCTGTACTTTAATAAAATAAAAATATAAATATAACATTTATTTGAATAGTGAAGAGGCATAGAATGTTAGCTCGAAAATTATCACAATTATGTCAAGAACAACTTAGATAAAAATATTCTGAATTTGAAGAATTTTTTTGAGGGGTTGTGATTATAGGGTGAAAATTATGAAGTATTAAGTAATAATTATCTATCAAAACAGGGGCCAAGATCCTATCAATGACAGAATTGTCCCAATGGGGCAAAAGGGAAAATATTGGGCAGGTCTTTCTCTAAACAAAGTCATAACGACAGACAGGTAAGAATGATAGTTCAAGATTCTGACCTACATCTAAAACCTAGATTTAATATTATAATAAACTGCTATATGAGAGAGTACTGGGCAATCCATTCATCGAAAAAATTTGCAAAGAATGTTGATGACAACTATTGTTCTAAAGGGTCTAGAATGTCCTAAGTCTGACTGTCACCTGCAAGAGACTTCTTCTCTCGTGATGTGTTGAGCAATAGAAATTATAACCATTACTTTATTTCTCTATTCCTCTTATGTTAAGAACTGATAGGAGGAGAAGGAGGTGCAAAAGTGTGTTGGCCACAATAACAACTTTCTTCTATTTCTTGTTTATTAACTGGTCTTTAGAAACATCCATATTATAGAAAATAACTGAAAGACTCAGATTCATGAAATAAAATTATATTAAAGATCACCTCAACTTGCTGTTAGACAAATTCCTAGAAAAATGGACTAATTTTCTCTACATTACATTCTGTATTAATTAGACTTCAAATGATTCTTGAGGGTGCTATTCAGAAACAAACCAAGAGACTTCTTACAATGATAGCATGGATGATTATATCAGAACACTATGTAATGCATGCAATGAAAGGACAAATCTAAATACAATAATAAAGACAAATAAAACCTGATGTTACAGAGGCATGTGTTGATTTTTAGCAGACGTTTCTGCCAATCATGCTTCTTACACACCTTTGATAGACTTCACACCTTCCAACAATCTATTCAGATACACCTTTCCAGCAGCTGTAACAAAAGGGATAAAGGATATCAGAAGGAAAAGCAAGAAGTCACACAGTTATGGGGCAGATAGTTAATCCCAGTAAGAGGTTTTATGCTTTCCCTGAGAAATCGGTCCTAACTTCCCATGAAATAAAAATCACTTAAAAAAAAAAAGAAAATTCTCCTAGTGACAAAAATGCATATACACTGAGAAAACTGCTAGTGAGACTGCAATATACAGAAATAATTCTAATACCCTCTGTCATTTTTCCTTCTCCCTTTTCTTTATTTTTATAAGCTTTCAATTTTCTTTCTTTTCCTGCATCTCATGCCGGCTTCAATAACTTGCCTGGGCAACATTGTTACATTTGTAACAATTATGATATTAAATTTTATGGTTGAAGACTATGGAGACTTACAGATTAAATCTACATGACAGAGAATTTCCCTTTTCCTGGTAATTTCCAACACTCCCTAGAAGAACTAAGAATTACTAATTTCTTCAACTCATTGAAGAAATAACTTAATGGAATTGCTTAAAATATTCATCAAAACCAAACTCCCTGAAAATGCTACACTGGCATTTTTGTGGCTCACCGTCAACTGGTAGTGTTAATTTTAGCTTCACAAGTTCTTTCTCAGTGAGTTGGATCCCCTTATCTCCCAGAACTTTTTGTAGATCATTGACATCAACCTTTTTTCCTTTAAAAAAAAAAGAAAGAAAAGAAAAGAAACATTAGTGCATTAGCATCTGAGAAAAAACCTAATGAATCCAAATAATGAAAAAGTCATCATTGTGTTGAGCCATCTTCAACTTGTAAACAGTGAGACCCATACAACTGTATAGAATTATGGGATAACCACAAGCAAAACACTGTTCTTTAATTTCATAAGAGGAATAATCTCTTAGTGATACATTTGTGCACATTTAATGCAGCCGAAGAGTAATTTTGCTGCTGGAGGTAGCCCAGCGAA